CTCTGTAAGTGTATAGCTATCGTATGAACTAGGATAAGCCAATCGGTGAAGATCTTCCTTATTTTTTAACTTGGTTTTTGGTCAAAAATCGGCGAAATTCACGATGGATATCCAAATAAATAAACTTACGCGTAAAGTGTAAAATAAAAATCTGATGCAATATTTAACTTGATATTCCATGAGAAAATTGACTTTTATGTTAGGATGTTCACGTTCTCATATACAATTTTAAACGGCATATACATTAGAACTTTTTACCGGGTTAACCTACTTTATGAGGATTTATTTGGCATATATGCAAAGGAATTGACAATTGAAACCCACTGAATTAACGAAACCCCAAAATAAATGAAATACACCAAGTATATACCTTTGACTGTGACTCACTGTAATTCATTCATATCTAGCTAATTTTAAACCAGACAACGCCCCCTAAAAACCAATCAAATACATTGTAATCGTTCGTCCTACTATATTTAGCCACCTTTATTTACATGGTGCGTCATTAGGCGGTTAAGCGATTGATTGATTCAATTGGTTAAGCCACCTAAAAATTAATTTGTCAATTAATGAAACAAACACAAGCAGGTGTTTTAGCGATTGCCACTAGATTTTCTTGTGATCGGACGATGTAATTATTCGAATTCTATTTCTCTGACGGATACCTGTTTTAAGTAGTTCAAAGGCGGATTATCTGCACTCAAGTGTCACAATGACATTTGGTGAAGAGCAAGGGGTAAGGTAATAAATGTAGGGGAAATAGAGGGATTTTGATCGAAATCGGATATAGAATTCATCATTAAATTGTTATTTTTACGATTCTCATGGTAAGATGAACAATAAATATCGTTGCATACTTTTAGGCGGTATTTTTGATTATAATGCACAGCACAATGGGGTGAAATTATTTGTTTTGCATTTACAGGTAAAAAATATATAGATATTATTCTATTGTATGGAGATTGTATTGTTATATTTGTGGATAGCCTCCACCGTTATGTATACTGACAGGCACTTGAAATGAAAATATAGGGAACATACCAAAAAGTGGATCAATACCTATAATTCTACAACAATTTTTTCTATACCTAAAGGCAGACCAATATTGTTTACATAGTGTAGGAATTAGCGTCTGTTTGGGGATATCATTATATGAGGGCTATGCCTAATTTGGTTGGGATATTTGCTACCATATACGACAACAAAATGCCAAATCTCAGCGAATTCGGTTGAAAAACGCGCTCAAGAACCTAAAACTATCGAAAATTGTGGGTACCCTTATATGGGGACTACCAGAAAAATTTGAGATTTGTTAACCAATAGGAAATCAAAGTACCAAATTTCAGTGAATTCGGTTGAAAAAGGCGCTCAAGAATCCCAAAATACCAAAAATGGGGGTATCCTTATTATTTAATAGGAGAGATTTGCTACCCAATAAGAACTCAAAGTACTAAATTACAGCCAATTCGGTGAAAAAATCCGGTCAAAACCCCCCCCCCCCCCCCCCCAAAACCTGAAAATTGGGGGATACCGTTGTATAAGGGCTACCGAAAAAACTGGACCAATATTTATTATTTATTTTAGTGGAAACATTTGGTATTCAATAAGAACCCATTGTACCAAATTTCAGTGAATTCGGTTGAAAACGCGTTTAAGAGCCCCAAAATACCGAAAATTAGGGGTACCCTTATATGGGAGCTACCCGAAATAATGAACATATATGGGGGCTACCCGAAAAAATTAACATATATTTAAATTTTTTTTTGTGGAGAGATATGGTATCAAATAAGAACCTATTGTACCAAATTTGAGCGAATTCGTTTGAAAAACGCGCAAGAACCCCAAAATACTGAAAATTGGGTTACCCTTATATGGGAGCTATGCCTAAACGTGGACCGATATAGCCAATTTTCGAACTTGACAAAGTTCGATTCTATGCGAATCGTCATAGAATTTTACGCTGATCAAGAATATATATATACTTTATAGGGTCGGATATGATTATTTCGATGCGTTACAAACGGGAAAACAAAACTAATATACCCTCCATACTATGGTGGAGGGCTTTCAGTCTATTGATTACTTTCCAAAATATAATAAATAATAGATTTTCCGAAGCGTTCTTTCATTCTGTACTTAGAAAACAAACATTATGGATCCTCGGCCTATTTTTTTTATAACCTCTCCCGTCTACATGAAACCTACGAACGTCAATCTTTCAAAATGGTCATTTAACAGGCTTTATTTATTTTTCTAAAATCATTTATAGTTAGTCTGCCTATAAAAAATGTTTTGAAAAACCTCTACCTAAAAACAATGAGGGCATCCGTGGGTAACTTTCAGGACCGCATGAAAAAGTTACAAGTTTATTCTAATGTATTCAAATTGATTTTTAAAGTCATGTTCGATCAATGAACGGGAAGATCTAGATGAACGATTTGATCAAATATCAAAATTGAACGAAAGAAGCAAAATGAACTAGATGAACAATAGAATCGATCCTAGTACCGATCGTTCCTTTTGCGGAAAAGTTTATTCGATCTAGTTTGTTACGGAATGAGTTAACTATATCTAAAAACTAAGAGGGCTCCTGTACATAACCTTCAGTAGATTCTTTGTATGTAGGCCACTTTCAGGATCGCACGAAAAAGTTCACAATTTAGCACCTTTTTTTGGCAAATTGATTTTTGAAGTCAGATTTGATTTATAAACGAGAAGATCCAGATGAACGAGTTGATAAAAAAACAACTTGGTGAAGGAGAGCAAAAATTAACGACAGGAGCAAAAGTAACTAGATGAACTATAGAAACGAACCTAGTACCGATCGTTCCTTTTGGGGAGTAGTTCCTTCGATCTAGTTTGTTACGGAGCGAGTTAATTATCTAAAAACCAAAAGGGCTCCTGTGCATAACCTTCAGTAAGTACTTTGTATATAGGTCACTTTCAGAATCGCACGAAAATGTTTTTTTTTTCTTTTGCGGTATAGTTCATTCGATATAATACGGTATGGAACGACCTAACCCGATCTAAAAACCAAGAGGGCTCCTGTACATAACCTTCAGTAGGTACTTTGTCAAGATTGCTCGACAATTTTTATGAATTAATTCCATTTTTTGTTTAGAAATTGATTTTTGATTAATGAACGGGACGATCTTGGTGAACGAGTAGATCAAAAGGAGCTAGTTTGAGAGCAAAAACGGACAACTGGAGCAAAAGGAACTAGATTATCAAATGAACCGGGCCTAAAACCGATGGCTCCTTTGCGGAATAGTTTTTATTGAACTAGTTCGTTACGGAACGACTCAACTCTAGTGCCAATGGTTTGGAAATGTAAGTGATCTTACAATATTTGTGTTGCTGTAGGAACCCAGGTTCTAATCCTAGTCTGGCTCAGCTTGATTTTTATACCCTTCACCACACTGTGTTACAGGGTATTATGTGCATATGTTTGTAAGAGGCAAAAGGAATCGAGCTATACACATGGTTCCTTTTAAGAATATGCATAGAATCACTTTCTGAGTCGATTTGCGCATGTCCGTCGATCCATCGATTTGGATGACATTTGGACGAACCCTTTTGAAATTTGAGAAAATTGGTTCAGATTTAGATATAGCTCCCATATATAGTATCGTCCGATTTTTTGTGAATGATGTACCAAACTGCCAATATTTGTCCGATTGTGACAAAATTTTGCACGGAGTACTGAATTAGGTCCAGATTGATGTCTGCGAAATTTTGTTAAAATCGGAATGGTATGTGTATGGGTTTTTTTCAATTGGTTCAAATATCTATCTAGATAGCATATTTAATTTCGCCGATTCCATCTTAATGGTCCTCCAAAGATTCAATGTCTGTTCTATCTACAGGATATTGTAGATATTAACATCTCTTGTATTTACCCAAGGTGGTGAAGGGCCCCGCCGACTTTTGAACTTTTTTTACTGGTTTTAATGTGTGTCTGTTAGTGCAAAGATCATTGGTGTAATTATAGTTTTTTTCTCTTTCAAGTTGAGCTTAATACAAAGAGAAATTCACAAATCCGAAGAGACTCTGGTATTTTTTCAAGGTCTCGTCGACCTTTGTTTGTTATCTCTACAAGGTTTACTGATTTCCGATGATTATCTAGATAATATATCTCGATATCTATAAAATATTCCTAAAATACATAAACATATTTTAAAGTGAAGTTTTTTTTTTAATTTTTACTTTATTAAATACTTAAGATTTTTTTATATTTTTATTAACATTTCTTTAATAAAAATCTTTGGTTTGTTTTTCATATTCTCTTTTTTTTGTATGTGTGTACTTCAAAAAAAGGAAATCGTCACTTTTATATATATAGTCATATTATAAAATTGATTTTAAAATTAAGGGGGAATTTTTCAATGGGGATTTTTAAGGATAAGGGAGGATATTTAAATATTAACATTATAAGTTAAAGAAAAAATAATAATAAACAAGGGCAGGAGTACTAACAAAACAAAAAATAATAATTATAATATGTTTTTTAAAAAATACTACAAATTAAAAAATAACTGAATGGTTATAAATTAGGAAAATAAAATAGATTAAAAATTAAATACATAATTTTGTTCGTTGTAATTTCATTTGTAATTTTTTTTTAATTTAAAGGAAATTTTGTAATTTCATTTGTTATTTTATAATTGTTTTTATATAATATAGAGGAAGTTTTGAACTATATAATTCTATGAATAGCAAGGTATTAAGGTTAAGTGTTTGGTGTTTTTCAATTTTAAATTAAATTTAGTCTACAAAAAATAAGGAAGGAAGGAAAAACAAAAATAAATTACATCTATGTATATACTTTTTTTGTTCTTGTAGTTAATTTTTTTTTTGTGTGGTTCATGTTCTCATTTATAAAGGTATAAAAAGTAGTTGTTTTGTTTTATATAATAGATAATAATTAAATAAATATGTATGTATATAAATTAGTTAATAAGCTTCCTTGTGAAGAAAAATAAGAAAACGATTGATTCTCCTCAGTCATTCTCCTCGGTTATTAATAGTTCATATTCCTGGGCGGCAAAACGATCCCAATCGGATGTCTGGAAAATAAGAAAATGGAAAAATAACATTTAAAATATATTCAAAGTAATATTGAAAAACTAATAACAATTACAAAAAGGGTATGCCAATTATTGTTACTCACATATTCATCTCTTTGCGAGGCAAATGGATCGCGCTGTTCATGATCCAAATATTTCTCCAAATTAAAGAAGGTATCGAAGAACACATGCGTCATTTTGCAATTTTTCAAATCACCCAATGTTATGGCATCCCGTCGCTTGGGTTTAATCATGTCCAGCATCTGGAAAAATTGGAAAAGTTGATTACAGATAAAATATCAAAAAAAGTTCCGTAAATTATATTGTAAATGGCGCCCAAATCGAGGTCGAAATGTTTTTAATTTTGTATTTTTTTGAAAATGGATTTAAATACTAAGAATACAATTTCTTGCTCTCGAGATCAACCCGTAAAAAATATCTTCTTAGATCACAAATTGAATTACAGAAAATTAAATTTCCATTTGAAAGATCTGGGATTCATCTATATATAAAAGAGCTTAGTGTGAAGTGAGTGAGTGACTGACAGATCATCGCCCAGACGAAACGGCTAATGCTAGAAGCTTGAAATTTTCAATGAGGGTTGCTGATGGTGTGTAGGCGCGAGATAAGGCTGGGTTTTTGGAAATTCGAACTAGAAGGGTACGAAAACTACTAAAATGTACCAAATATGGTACCCTTTGTATTAAGCGAACGGGAAGAGCTAGAATTCTGAAATTTGGAATGTGGGTCACTGGTGGAAAGTTAGAAAGATGTAGAAAAGGGTTTTTGGAAATTCGACCCATAAGTGTACTAAAAGTACTAAATTTAGTTCTAATTCTACATATATTGAACATATATAGCTAAAATCTTGAAATTTTATATAGAATACAGGTTGGGAAGTGGTGTTGATGTATAGAAATGGTTTAAGATTTTCGTACTTATGTTTTTTAAAAAGTACTAAATGGTACTAAATTTGGTACTATTTGCATTTTGTTGAGTGTATATAGATGGAATCCTGAAAATCGGAATTAGGACTGCTGTTGGAATACAGAATTGAGGTAGCTTTAAAAAATCGTACCTTTGTGTACGAAAAGTACTAAATTTAGACTTTGGTGGAACTAAAATTACTGTTGGAGAGTAAGATTGATGTAGTTTTAGAAATTCTGTTGAAGTGTAGTATTTAGCTATGGAGATAACTTTGGAAACTCGAATTGATGTGTACGAATAGTAATGGTACTAAATTTGGTGCAGGTTGGATTTCGGTTCACAGATGGAGCTGGAGTCTTGGGATTGGGAATTAAAATGACTGTTGCAGTGTAGAATTGAGGTAGTTTTGGAAATTTGTACTTATTGGTACGAAAAGTACTAACTGGTACTAAATATAGTACAATTTGGATTTTGCTTAAACGGATGAGCTTAAACCCTAAAATTTGGAATTCTGATTACTGCTGAAGACTACTGGGGTTTTGTGGTATGGAGGTAGTCTTGAAAATGTGTAATTATGTGTTCGAAAAGTACTTAATGGAAGTAAATCCGGAACCTGTACGTATTTGCTAAAATATATAATTGGAATTCTGATCTATTTATACCCTTCACCACACTGTGGTACAGAAATGATGCCATTGTGCATATGTTTGTAACAGGCAAAAGGAAACGAGATGGACCCATGGTTCCTTTTGAGAATATGCATAGAATCTCATTCTATGTCGATTTATGCATGTCCGCCTGTCTGTCAGTCTATCTGTCCATGTTAAATTGTAAACAAAGTGCAGGTCGCTTTTATGATCCTAATTGGATGAAATTTGGCATAGCTCACTTATTTGGCCCAATGTCGAACCCTATTGAAATTGGGAAAAATCGGTTCAGTTTTAGAATAGTTCCAATATATATTTTAATCCGATTTTAAGTAAATAGTGCACCAAACTCCCTATATATATATCCTTCGATTTACACGAAATTAGGCACAGCGAACTGAATTAAGTCGTGAAAATCGGTTCCGATTTAGATATAGCTCCCATATATAATTTCGTCCGATTTAATGTAAATGGTGTACCAAAGTCCCTGTATATCTTTCGACTTCCACGAAATTTTGCATGTGATACTTTACTACTTTCCTTACTGGTTTTAATCTGTTTAATGGAATTAAGAGACATTTCGGAAAATAGTGCTTCTGTGTATGAAGAGTACGAAATCGCAAATTATATTACAACAAATAATTTCCATATGAAATATTTTTTGTATTCCCTTTCCGCATACGAAGTAGCGGGCACTTTGCTAGTAACTTAATAATTCAATTATAATACTTCTGTTGCGAGAGGACGGATAATTAAAAAAATAAATATAAAGGTTCAATGCAAACAATAAATGGCGCCCAGGTGATCGAAGTCTTTAAGACAAAATTTCAAGAATTTCAGATCACATCGCACTAAAAGGCCTAGATCAACGATCTTATTTCAGTTTGGAAATTTTCGATGTGGTGGCGCCCATCGTGATTTCAAGTTTAAATAAATCTGAATGCCCAGATAACAAAACAATAAAGATTTGAACCGTGGTTACTATGGCTCCAGGCTATAAACTATTGTAGGTTGTATTGCAAAAAACATTTCGTATCTACAAGATGGCGCCCAATTTAGGGCCTGAGTTTAAAATTGAATAAAATTAGGATCATAATCTACTATAAGAACTTTTAAATTAAACCACTTTCGAATTAAAAGGAAGCAAAGCTCACAGATTATATGCGATGGAGGTCAGATCGAAGTCTCTAAACAATAAATTTCAGATCACATCACACTAAAAGGCCTAGATCGACTATCGGTCAACTCTAATCACAGTTTGAAAATCTTCTATGTGATGGTGCCCAACAATAAATATAACTGTCCAGATAAGATTTGAATTCTAATGTTATCCGACGTATTTGCATACAATCTACTTAACATCCAAAGGTTGCACAAAAACCGTTCTTCGGCAGAGAAAAACAGATCGATTTGGGGTCCCATTGCAAAGGTAAACATGATATTTGGCGCCCAATTTACCGTTCAGGAATGAGGTTGATACCAACATTCTATATGGCGCCCAACATGCGACTCTATTAAAGAAAATCGTTTTCGGGCGAAGAAAAGTGGGACTTAGATTGAGGATCGATTTGAGGTCACATTCCAAAGGTAAACATTATATTTGGTGCCCAATTTACCATTCAGGGATGATTTTGATACCAACATTCTATATGGCGCCCAACATTAGAACGTAGACGAAACTATTAAACAAAACCTTTTTCGGGTGAAGAAAAAACGGGACTTAGATTGAAGATCGATTTGAGGTCCCATTTCAAATGTGAACATGATATTTGGCGCCTAATTTACCGTTCAGGAATGAGGTTGGTACCAACATTCTATATGGCGCCCAACATTAGAACGAAAGCGAATCTCTTAAAAAAAATTAGAACATTCTAAGGCAATTTTATCTATATGCAAAAATTTGTATCATAGCAGAGCGCAAAAAAATCCCCCATCAAGTGAAGGAATCGCAACGATCCTTTTCTCCGACGTGTTATCTCTGTGGTGGATATGTCATCGCTTGTCACGATGACATTTTATGTAAATTTCCTGTCATTTCATAGAGATTGCCTCTTCAGGGTGAAGGTAGGTGAACTTATTTTTAATCATTTCCCCGTAAGACAAGTTTTCTTCAGGGGTTCCTTCTTGCTAGGATTTTTTCTTGCGATAATACGTCCGTACTCCGAAATCGTTCATTGGTATACGGTCAATGAACGGGAAGATCAAAAGGAAGGATTCGATCAAAAGGAACTAGGTGAAAGAGAGCAAAAAGAAATGACTTGAGCAAAGGGAACTAGATGAACGAAAGAAACTGAACTAGTACCGAACGTTCCTTTTGTGGAATAGTTCGTTTGAACATGTTCGTTTCGAAACGACACAACTCCATAAACCAGGCATGCTCGGCCATATACGCTACCGTAACTGAGGGTCGATGGGTAAACACATTATCTCTTTCTTTCTCTTTACGTCAGTCGTTTTTAATGGTTAATTCTCAGTTACGCTCGCACACACTTGCTCTCAATTTAATTTTGCCCAACACTGCCATAAACATAGGGGGTTTTATTATAAGAGAATATGGTCAATAGGGTCATGGATATTTACGTCTAATTTTGGCTCTAAATCTACGGGCAGGTTATCAGGCATATCATTGCTTACACTTTTCCGGAAATGACTACATCAGGTGGAATGCTTATGGTTCGGAGAAAGCAAAATATTATCTTCTTGTCTGGACATAAGTTCAATTATTTAGGAAGATGGTTCCTAAAGATTTTCTTCTTGTAAATCGATTTACTAAAGGTAGAAAAATTAAAAACAAATATTCGTAACTAGGTCCGCTGTAGCATTCGATTATATATTTAGATGCCTGGATATTAATAGAACGAACGAAACTTGCAATAAATCCTAACAATTTTTGAACCAAAAAATCCGGAACTTCAATAGCATAAATCTATTTAAAAAGTTGACGACTATCTTCCGGAACTTCAATCCCTTCCGTCTATATAAAAAAAATCATGACTATTTTCTATTTAAAAATGTGCATAACAACAACTTTCAAAAATTTTCTTCACTCACCTGACACAAACAATCTTCAAATGGCAGCGATTCAATACCAATCGATTCCATACGCTGTTGTTGCTCCTCATAGAAATATTCCAATTCATACATTGAAATCACGCCATCACCATCGATATCCATGCAACGGAACCAATACTCAATGGCGGTTGGCGTGCGTTTATCCTCTTCGGATAGTAGGAACCAAACAAAATCGGAATATGACATTTTTGGTTCATCATCGGGATTCTTTTTATTATCACTGCGTGTAACACAACCCGAAAAGATACGCTCCACAATACGTGTAGACAAGGCGTGATCACTGTGCCTTGCCAAATCATCCTGATTGATGAGCAGATCATGATCTTTATCCAATTCCCAGAATTTACAATAGATGACATAGAAATGTTCATAACTGAAATAGGCCATGATTTGATTGATATCGTCTTCCTCCTCCAAGAGGCCAATGACCTGCAAATAAAAGTAAAACAATTAGTTTTCCTTCTTTTTTTAATTCTATTTTAATCCTACCTCCAACAAATCGGATTTCTTCAATTCGGATATTGTAATTTTACCCGACCAGCTGCGATTTACATTATAAAATATCCGTGCTATGACCGTATGCACATATCTGGAATGGAATTCAGTGGCCTCCTTCAGAAAGGCCAAACCCGGATGTGTATCGACGACATCTTGTACCAAGGGTGCCAAATCTTCGGGTAAGATATAGGAACGCATACGCTGGCCTCGTGATAAAATATAGACAAAACGTGATGCCTCATCATGGCAATAGACATTCATTCTAAGGGGAGAGAGAACAACCGTTAAAATATGTTGTACAACATCCTGAAATTCTCCCGACTTACTGTTTCCAAAACTCCACAAACCGTTGGCGCTCAACCAGTCCCGAATTGCCCTGCTGACAGAACACCATTACCGGCATACGCCAATAGAATGGCAATCCGCAAATCTTTAAAATACGTGGCAGTTCATCACGAGTCACCTGATTATTGGGAAATGTATCGAACGCTGCCAAAATACCACGCAATGTCCGTTCCAAAGCAATTGTGGGCTGCGGCTTGCCATGGGGGAAATAGAATCTGTGAATGGTTGGGGATTTTTTAGTGTTAGGTTATGATGCAGATATATTGAGATGCAACTTACCTGGGAATATAAACGCTTTTGGTTGATCGAATTTCCCGCTGGAGTGATGTATGATCTGATGGTGGCGGCGGAGGTGTGGCATGTAATTTGGCCTATAAATATGGAAAGGAATATTTTTAATAAAAATTAAATTATATTACATTAAATTTTAGTAAAAGAGCGACAAACATCTCAAAGGAAGAATCGTCGATACCCTGACACTCAACATCCTGGTATGTCGGAAATTCTAATGGAGATAGGAATTATTTTCGATATAATAATATATGTGGACTGCATTATACGTTCCTGAATAATTTGAAAAATCTTACTGAAGCCTAAAATCGCCACCCTCCTTTTTAGTGGCGCCCAACATAACAGCTGAGATCTTTGTTCGGATATTGAATTCATATTTTTGCAATTATTGATTTTAGAATGCAAAATAGGAGTTCTGAGTACGGAAGTTCTCCAAACACCGATAAAAACATTGTTAATGGCGCCCAACAAGCGACTGAATTCAACTGACTGAATTCAAAAATTAATAATTTAAGAAAATACTTAAGATTGAAAACAAAAGCAGGAACCACAATTTTCCAAATTGAATTACAAATGGCGCCCGACGTACGGTCTAAGCGTGAGATTCAAATATTAAATTTATACATTACTACGGTGAAAAATTGCAGAGAAAAACTAAGTCTGAATTCCAAAAACTCTAAAGTCATGACCAGTATTATAAATCATATCCACCATTGCAGCCGGTGTCCAAAGTGGACCGTAGTGCAAAGTTCTTAACGGTTCAGAACGCTAAGTTCAAATTTTAGCCGTGCTCATCTGGATTCGAACCAAGGTTTCCAGAGCAACAATAATGTTGCTAAATTATTTAGCGTTCTGAACTATTACTTCCGAACTTCCTATGCTTGCTCACAATTATGAGCCGCTTTACCAATGCTTAATGGTGGGTGCGTAGGTTCTGACTTTCCTTTTCATTGCAAGACTTCGATCATTAAGCTCGACTCGAAAGAGAAAAAAAAATTACTTAAAAATTGGATATAACTTTGAAATTATATTTTTAAAATGATGTTCTCATTACCGAGGTATAAGAATAGAAAGATAAGGATTGGAAATGCGAAGACAACAAAAAAGTGAGGAAGAAGCTCTTAGTAAGAAGGTGGAAATAACCCAAGACATAATCATCAACTCCCAATAAGTTCGCTTGTTGGCAGGCAATTGAAGTTAAATATTTAACATGATTTTTCCAGTATCGAGTCATAATAATGGCGTCCAACGAGAGATTGAAGTAAGAAATTCCTTAAAAATGAGAACCGAAGCATGAATGACAAAACGATTACAACATAACGTTTGAGGTATTGGTCTATCGTTTCCTTGTAGTAAAAATCTCAGATCCAACTGCGAAAATTAGCTGGGATGAATCGGAAAAGCATGTATGCGTCCTAAGTCTTGTTCAAAATTAGAAAATGAGGATTGGATATTAGAAGGATAAGACTAACAATAGTGAGAAAGAAACTCCTAGTAAGAGGGAAGAGAGAACTCAAGGTACTCTCACCGACACCCAAGAAGTTCGTCTGTTCAGATAAACCTCTGGCTCTGATGGAGAAAATAATTAAAAGTAAAAGTACATATAGGCCTAATCCAGAAACCTTGGGCTATATCGTCTCAAGACTCAACCACATTAAAGAATGACTCAATAGGATAATCCTGAGCTTACCTTCCTTTCTCGAATGCGGCGAAGATAATTAGTTCTCTGACGGAGCGAAGAAGAAAAAACAAATTGTCCATCATCTGGTCAAAGCAGACTGTCTCCTGACAATCCCTTCACAGATGGTTACCATGCTGGGCTAAGTATCAAAAAGACGGGCCACGGAATCATCAGTAAAGTCTGCGAACGAGGAACATACTCATATTTGGAGTAAAGAGGGAACAGACTATACCGAATATACCATCGATGTATCCAAGGATAAGAAGACTGGCCACAGAATCATCAGTGAAGTCTGTGAACTGAGAAGAAACTTCTAGGTAAAATAAAAAGGTAGCCGAAGATACCATCGATTAATCTTTCTCGGAAGCCTCGAAGTGGATACGTTAGAGAAAAGTTTTCCATATCTGATACTAAGAGCAAGCGACTTCAACCCTAAGTCAATAGAAACTGCCTCGAGAATCCTTTAACAGATGCCTACCAAGCTGACGCAAGTATCAATAAGACGGGACACGGAATCATCAGTAAACACTTTGAACGGAGAAAAACTTCTATGTGAAATAAAGAGGTAACCGAATATACCATCAATGAATCCCAAGAAAGAAATTGATTGCGCCCATTCAGATAAGCCTCTACTAGAGTGAGATGGCATTTAAAACATCTCTAGATTAATGTGCATAAACGAATGTCTCTAATGATAACACTGAACTTCCCTTCCTTCCTCGGAAGCGACGAAGAGCATTAGTTTTCCGAAAGAAAAGTCAATTTCTAAACCTGCGAATGAGAAAAAAAGAGTTTTCCATCATCTGACAAAAAGAGCAAGCCGCTTCAAACCTAAGTCAAAGGAGACTACCTCCAGGAATCATTTAACAAGCTGACCCAACTATCAAGAAGATAGGCCACGGAATCGTCAATAAAGTTTATGAACGAGGAAGAAATTTCTAAGTGAAATAAAGGGGTAGCCGAATATGCCATCAATGAATCTCAAGAAGTCCGTCTATTGGAAGGTAATTGATTGTGGCCATTCAATTAAACCTCTACCAGAGTGAGTAGGAAATTCCTTCACTTGCGCAGTCGGCAAGCTAAATAAAGAGATCCACATGGATGTCAAAAAGGCATCTAACAACAAGATCCTGGATCACCTTCGGCAAGAAGAGTATCCATATTTTAATAAGATGCGATTTAAAAAGGGACTATCGTAGCGTAGATATCGAGTTGTAGTATATAGTATATAGTTTGCCATACTACAAACCGATAGGCCTTCCAGCAGGAAACATTCTTTCGAAGTCTTTTCCCCCCTTCAAAGGAAATGTATCCGAGGCCCCTGACATTATAATTACAGGAGAGGCCCCTGACGCCACCCAGAGGAAAATGGCAACACTAAATAAGCAAGGACATGAACCACTGCAAAAAACTCAAAGAGTTGTTGTTTCTATGTAACGATAGGTGGTATAGAAACAAACAGCGGATGTGTACAAATTCATTCAAAGTCGTTTTCCCCCTTCGGGAGAAATACAAACGAAGGCCACCTGGCATTCTAATAACCAGCCTCGGCAACAGCATGTACACATTAGGAAAAAATAGGATTAAAATGAGATAGCGCCACCCAGAGGAAAATTGCAACACCAACAAAGCAAGGACCTCAACTAAACTCAAGTAGATTTTGATAGGTGGTAGATGTTGATAGGATGCAAATTCTAATATTAATTTTGATAACTGAACTATTATTAATGACCAACATTATTGTGAGGGTTTTGAGATAAGGCTAAAGAAGATTAGTTTGAGTGGTTCTTAAAGATAAATATATTTTACAATAAAATCAGAAATTTAAGTAACAACGAATCGGTAGGTTGGGTTCATTTCCATATAGTCATTTAACCATTTCGTTCAATAATTCCTTTTAGTACCATATTTATGTTTACATGTCAGTTTATTCGTCAATGAACGGAAAGATCTGGATGAACGATTTGAACCAAAAGGAACTAGTTCAAAGAGAGCAAAAATGAACGAATGAAGCAAAAGGAACTAATGAACGAAAGAACCGGACCTAATTTCTTTGAACTAGTTCCGTCCGGAACGATCCATCTCTACTGAGGATATAGAACAAAAATATCAATGAATTAACCGCGAAACGCGTAAAGTTTTTCATAGAAATTGTACCATTCTAGAAATGAAATATACCTTCGAAAAAATTGTGGAAGTCCCACCTTAAATCGTTTCACCCCAATACACACTGCTTTGAAAATACTACGCAAATGAATCAGTTTTCGGAAGATAATAAACAAAATTCGCTTTACCTAATTTTGCAAATGAAATTTGGCAATTATTTAAGGTGAAACAATCGACATTCTGAGTGTGTGTGTATAGAAGAGGTGCGTGAGCTAACACCCACGTGTTAGCTGACACTTCATAACGCAAAAAAAACCAATTTCAAAAACTGGATTCATAGAAATAGCTCAATAAAGGCAAAAAGCAAGAAACAAAGAAAATAATTAGTTTCAGATTGTAGTTCAGTATTCATTCGATGTTGTTGTTGCAAATCAATGTATTTCTTTGTTTTGTGATGGTATTTGTTGTTGTTGGTGTTCACAAAAAAATTTTGAAATTTAATTGAATTATTTGAAAAGTATGCCAACTATTTGCCTTTGTTATGATGTTGTGTGATAAATGATGGGCTGAAACGATTTTTTCTGTAATACAACAGAGAGGAAGAGGAGAATGGTAGAATCGAAAATTAAATCAACATATTTTGGATTATAACTCTATCAGCACGGATAAATGGGGATGAGGTTAACTGGTATTAATGAGAATGGCGCCCAACGTAATACAGCGTATGTATACAATGAATTATTTTTAAATATTTTCTAACTTGCAACCTGAATTCTAGGGGAGGAGGAAGAATATGTTTAAAGTGATTTTCGAATAGTTGCAAAAAAGAGGACTTCATCGTTCTGCAGATAAAATGCATCCAAAGTCCCTGATATTCTAATGAACAACCGGCATCAGTATAAAAGCATAAGGATTACTCAAAAATATCAATGAGAGGAAAAAGCTCTACCCAGAGGAAATACGCAAGGGTCTCTCCAACTGCTAGAATATTAGTTCGTCTGAAAAGGCTTCTTCGTTTTCAGCTCATCTATAGAGACTCCTTGATCCGTAAACTCAGAGCTTCAGAAACGAACGACGTGGCTTTTTTTTTTTTGAAAATGACGCCCAAAGTGTTTTAGAACCAAGATAGATATATTCAGTTATTACCTCCTTGAGTGGTATAAAGACGGCTGGTCCTTCCGATCATCACTGACCAAAAATACTAATTCAACTCCCTGTCATCTATAGAGATTCCCTGGTCTTCAGCTCGTAAATGTAGACGCCTTGACCTTTAGCTCGTCTATAAGGGTCCGT